AAATCTCGCTTCGTCGACTTTTATATTTGTGGAGTTGTAAATCATGATTTCCATGGAATGCCTTTCGCTCGTCTTTTTGGACATTGCCACGAGGCTAATTTCGTGCTTAGTTCAGGCATTTATGGGTGTGATGGAAATAGAAATAAATATTCAAGAGTTAACAATTATAGTGAACTAGCCGTGCCCTGCGGTTTCATCCGCGTTTTTCTCGTTTCCGTGGAAATACCGAGATAAAATATATAGGTACCAACTCTTAACATCTTACACACGTGATAACTTTTAAACGAAATATCCGATTGAGATGAAACAAAAAGTATTTTACTTCTATATAAATACTCTTGATGACATAATGCTTAATTTCGATAAAGATTAATATTACGATACATATTTTGAACACAAAATCGGTTATTGTGATTAAACCATGATAGCTAGATATATGTTCTCGCGGACTTTTTTGTAGGTCTTAATGGGATCTACAAACCTGTAGTACATCATTTTGTTCTATTGTCAATAGTTTTTGCAGCGCACGCAAAAATAGGCTTTCGATTTTACACCTTGTGTTACAAAATAGCAATTTTATTAAGGATCCCTAATTTTGAAAAAAAGCCTATAGCCTTCCTCGATAAATGGACTACCCAACACTGAAAGAATCATTCAAATCGGACCAGTAGTTCCAGAGTTTAGCGCGTTCAAACAAACAAACAAACAAACCCTGCAGCTTTATAATATTAGTATAGATTAGAATAAGTAAAAATTTCGTCTCCATATTTATAATTTTAAGTGAATAAGTAGGTAAGTTCTTTGTTTTCTTTAACCTTCCTATTCATAAAATTTTATAAACTAATAATATTTTTAGAAAGGCCGAGCTTGAATTGGAGAACCCGTCTGAGGAAATAAAGTCCACCACCCACAACTAATTTTGCCCGATGTACCTAAGTAGAAATCATTCGTTTCCACTCATCGTTCGCGGTTCATCAACGACCACCATGAGTTTTCACATTAACTAAATTATCCAGTTTATATTGCAAGCACGCACTAAGGGCAGACATCATATTTTAAATTATAATAGAAAGCATCTGAACGTGCCAGTGATGTCATATCGCTGCAGTATGAAAGCTGCAGCGCAAGAGAGCATGCTTTGACATTGCGCGCGCGCCGCTCGACGCGACCTATGCTCATGCGCACTTTCTACTGCGTATTATCGCAGTTTTTGCAGCATTTCGCGCACCGCACTCTCTAAATTAGTTGTAATGAGTCTTATGGCGTTTTGTTTTGCAGTGATCTCTTCACTTTGCCTGATCCCAAGGCAATATACTCTACTTGATACAACCAACAATGTGTTCTAGAAATCAGAAAACAAAATTAAGGGAAGACCTTCGTTGTTACTAACTTTTAACAATATTTGAGACTATATATGAAATTTATTCTTTTACATTAAAATTACTTGGGAATCGAACCAGGGACTCATGATGACGCCAAGTCTGGTTTACACAAGTATCGCCCACCGAAGTTATCTAAAGAAGTAATTATGTTTAAACTGCAATCAAATTAATTATTGTCTTATTTGTTTTAAGTGCTAATAATCACTTGCGCTTTATTTGGATAACCTCTAAATTTTCCTCTCCTAATTTGGAAATATTTCAAGTGATAAACAGTCTAAAGGTTTACTATGGATAAATATACTATATTTTACTGCACTTTATCAATTTATACACCTACCCAGTTTCCCTATTACTGATTAATTTAACAGTTTGTAAGAGTGCCATTTAAAACTTCCGTGATTAAATATCTCCCACTGCACATACTGTAAAAGGAATCTTACGCATAACTCGAAGCGGCAACTTGTTTACAACTCTGTGTGTGTGTTGTGGTTGGTCAGACTTTCGTCAGGACTTGCATTTTTAATTCGAGGCCGACGTAGGCGCATACGCACATTGAATAAACATGTGGCTGCACATTTTTGTAGAAAAGTACAAATACTTAAACAGAATAGTGAAAATATTAAACCATTGGAAAAAATTAAGATCTCAATTTTTTGGTTACAACTGGGAAGAGCGAAAGGATAATTAATTTAAATTGCTTACTTAAGTTTTTAATGTCAAGTTACTTAAGTACTTTATTTTCTATCACTGAATCAAGCATTTTATTTCTCGATAATTATTTTCATTATTATGAAAAACAGTGGAATTGAGATCCTACACCTTTTGTAGTTGTTATAAAAAAAAAATTACGGCCATAAGAGTTTTTAGTTAGTTTCAGACATAGTCATACCTACTACGGTGAATTGTAGAAAATTCTCTCGCTGCCCAGAAATAAAATAAAATAATAGTTTTCCGAGTTATGACACTATCCTAATCAGCGTGAGAAAACTTTATCAACGCACGATTGAAAAGATTTAAAATACAAATACCAATAAACTAAATAATCAATATTGTATAAAATTTATCTAAATACGAAAAATAACAAATCAAGGTCAATACAATGATGAAACGGTGGTTTCTAGAGCAGTATCGAAATTTTGCACGAAGTTGGGTAATTAACGACAATGTTATCGAAACTCCGTACCTACTTACTTACTTTTAACTAATAAATGTTTTAAAATAATTTTGCGACACTCGATTCGAGTTCTTAGTAATTCAATTGACCAAATAATTTACACTGAACAGCTACATTTCGTACAGCGAAGCGTTCTCCTAAATAATTTCTTAATAATGGCAAAAATAAAATTAATGATTAATACAGTTTTATAAAATGTGTTCTAAATGGTACATAGATGTACTCAACTGGGCATAGACCACTGAATAAATGAAAATTGGTAATCGGAATTTTCATTATCTGGATTGAGACATAAGAAGAATACATTTTAATGCTGGAAAAAACCACAGAAAGAGCTTAGAAGGGTGCTCATAGACCGTTTGTACTGGAACCGATGTCGCCGGCTTTCCCCCACTACACTTTCATCTAATGGATAATAGCCAATCAAACGACGCGACATCTAATAATCGAACCAATCAGATCTGATAGCAACGACGCAATCAGAACCAAGTTTTGGTGAAGTTATGAGCATTTGCTCATACATAACTGGCGCGCCTGCCACGCCCACAAATTCCTTCTAACCTCTTTATGTGTTCTGTGGAAAAACTAGTTGTGCAATGCGGGCGGTCCATGGGTACTATGGACTGTGGCATGAATTCTGGAAAAGCAAACGACAGGACATGATGGTCCACTTTAGATAATTTTTCTGAAATATTTCGTCATCATGAAATGGTACGAGTATTATATTAAATACTTATGACCTAATTGATAAACTTATGACTTAAAAATAAATAATTTTATTACAGTTGTATTTCAACTATTTAAAACGACTTAATAATTATAAAGACAGTTACGACAAATCCAATTTTAGAATCGATATATGTAATTTATAGCTGGAGTTTTATTGTCACATAGCAGTAATCAAAACTAAAGTAGCTATTTACAACTGCTTTAAGTGGTTAAGCGAGTAATCATGGATAGGTGTAAGTATTTTATTGATAAATATGCATGTGTGATGTTACTAATAATAACTCTTGAACTGTTATTCCGAAGAAAATAAAATATCTTAGACTGCATATTTAAATTTTGCTCAAATTAATATATTGGCGGTTGTCCGTTGTTTCCGTTAGGTATAAGAAGTTGCCACACCTTACTCTTTTTGGTTTTGATTGTTAAGCTCTAGAAATAGAAATAAGTATATGTTCCTGCAAACTTCTTGAGCTTCATCCATAGACAAGGAAGCGTGCGCAATAATAATTTTACATACAAAAATTCTACAACGCAAGTTTGTCTGTGGTTTTGCTCGAGAAATTTCCCATCATCTATACCTTGACGCAAGCCTCTTTGTTATTTTACCGGTGTGTATATAAACATATACACTGCCGGGACTACGCTGGGATTACATTTTATATAATTTTTATTTTAATCGCAAAGATCAACCAGTGCACGGTTCAATCAAGTCACCAGGAAATTGAAAATTACAATCGATTAATTAATTGATCACGAAAGATAAAGTTAATAAAAAAAGTCTGTTTAATTTTTTGTCCTGCTGTTGTCAACACCATATCCTTTTGTGACTATTCTTCGTCGTTAATCTTTAATGTTCCTTCTGGGGCTCCCAGGCCTTCCTCATGAATAAGATTGGGAGAATGGGCCATCATGGGCCATCATGGGCCAACGTATGCAGATGCCGCCGGGGACAACTGCATAAATACCTATTCTTATTAAGCATGGATACCTATTCTTTGACTGATAATTTCGAACTTGCTTAACTTCAGCGATAGCACATTGAACGCGCTAACCGCCGCACCAACAAGTTCCTCCTAGTGCGATTCAAACTGAATGCGACTATGACGTTAGCTCTAATCACAACGCTGCAAACGAAATGTAGAATGATGATGTAAGGATGTCACTGACCTGAAACCAGCGCATGCAAAATGATGGCAAACCAGCGTTTGGTCTGCCTGAAGGTAGAAGGCCACCATAGCCTATATATAGTATAGACGCTTACTTACCTACCCTAATCTAATCCCCTATCATATGGATCCCTGGATTCTCAATCACCGATGGAAATACAACACCACCAAAAAGTACCTTCACAATCGCACTATATTACGACTATTGCACACCGGGAAGCATGCATGAAAGTGCACTGTGGGTTCCTCCCAGTCATTTCACCCCGCTCACAAACTCAATGAAAAGACAGGGTAAAAATCAGACAATACTTCTACACCGGTCACTCGGCCATCATTCTGAGGAGCGCAGTTGCCACAATGCGCATCGGGAGTGCGGGCGATGCTGCGACACCTAGTATAATGGCCGCGCACAAAAATTGTCTGATTGTACAATTAATGCTCGTATTCATCATACAAATATTTGCCCCACCGGAGTACGAACCTATGACCTCTGAGTAGGAGACGCGTGCATGGCACTCGAGCCACGGTGATCATTACGACTATTCTTACCTGATGGTTGGTATTGGCTGGTACGGCGCTTTGTGGAGGCACGGACTGTACCGGCCGTGCGGGTTTTGCAGCGGCGCGTTGGAGTGTCGCCCGTTTCACTGACGCCATCAAAAACACGTCTTCAACTCGTTGTGCCACCTGGACAAACAGTATATAATTTTTATTTGCTACTAGTTGACCCCGCGTACTTCGTACGGGTTAAAAAATTTGGAAGAAGTGACGGACTCGAGTCTACCGTACCAAAAGGGACGAACGTTAAATGTTTCACAGGAAAGAAGATAGAACAGTTTATATGGGAAAATTAAATTGACGTTTTTACTATCCTCCTCGCAATTTTTCCATAATTTCTCACCTTTTAAACCTTCCCTAGACCTCCATGAACATTTAAAGACCAAGATAAGATAAATCCCTTCAGTCGTTCTCGAGTTTTAGCGAGACTAACAAAACGCAATTAATTTGTATATATACAAATTAACTTTCATAAGTACATTTACAATTTTAGAGGAAATCCAACATCTTCTTAATAAAAGTGTTTTATTAGATTACTAGCTGACCCAGCGAACTTCGTACCGCCCTAAAAAAATAGGGGTTGTCCAGCGGACAAAATTGTGAATCTAAACCATTCTCAGTTCCCTTTGAACACACACAAAAAAATTCATCAAAATCGGTCCAGTCGTTTAAGAGAAGTTCAGTGACATACACACTCACAGAAGAATTATATATATAAAGACTAGCTGACCCAACGAACTTCGTACCGCCATAAAAAAAATTAATTAAAAAAACATTGTCCAGCGGACAAAATTGTGAATCTAAACCATTCTCAGATCCCCTTGAACACACACAAAAAATTTCATCAAAATCGGTCCAGTCGTTTAAGAGAAGTTCAGTGACATACACACTCACAGAAGAATTATATATATAAAGATTGGTTAGCGTGGAATCTTTAGTAAATTTCCATTGGAAAGGTTTGAAACCTCAGTAGTGAATGATTAGAAGTGGGTATTTACAAGAATGGTTCTGTGGTACTACTATGGCCCTACAAACTAAGACAGCACATAACAGCGGTCATACTGAACTCTACTTATAAGTAGTCTAAAATAACGATGTAATGTAGTGTATTTTATATAGTATTACGTTGCTGGTGCTTTTTACTAAGTTTGCATTTGGCTTCAATATGTCAAGCTTTGTCCGAGAAGTCGAACTTCCTCGCATCCTCCCGCAGCTCTAGGGTAACCAACTTTTTTTCTATCAAATATAGTATTGTCGAAGCTTCGATGTTACCTCTAAAAATATAGTTGATGGCAAAAACATGGAAAGAAATATAGTATGTGGTTAAATATCTTCTTTATTTTTAAAATGAATACATTTTTGCTCTTCCATACCTTGATAATATTTTTATTTATTTCTAAGAACGCTTTTACTGGCAAAATATTGCTTTAAGCAAAGTAATAGTTTCGCCTACTATATTTTGAGAAATATAGTATTTGATTCCCTAATGTAGTAGGATACTATATTATATAGTAGGGTTGGCAACCCTACGCAGCTCTACGGCTATAAATTCAACTTTTACATATCGTAATTTAATACCTGTGTGACCAACGCCCTGGTTTCCTGTGTTGCAGACTGCATGAGCATCTCTCGGAATTCCTCGGGCGCCGTTAAGCCGAAGCTCTTCGCGTCATCTAGCAGTTTGTCTACGGCTATCAGTCCACCTTCACCCGCTAGCAACTCCACACCGTTGGCACACCATTCGTTTGCCTGCGAGAAGTAAATATATTTTTACTTTTTGGCTATTAACTATTTATTTAATAAGGTTTTAAGCACACCACTAATTGAATAAAACGACGCATCCTGAAAATGATGCGAAATGTCAAAGTACTGTAAAAAAGTATCAAAAACTTGTTTTATTTAATGGCTGTTTAAAATAAAACTGGAACCGTTATGACTTGTAAATATATTTGTATTTATATTTTTTTTATATATACAGAATTAGAAAGGGTTAGGTTTGAATTAGGTTCTTTACACAAGAAGGTTAAGAAAAAAAATCATTTTCATTTGAGGCTAATATTGGAGGTCAATATTCATCCGAGTAGCTACATAATTTTCAATTGCCTTCAAATGTTTTATAACTTGTTTTAGCACCGTTGTAAGATAATGAAATACAAATTTCGTATGTGATAATATATTTTGAGATACGTTAGGTACAAGGAAAGTGTAAATGGCGCGGCGCGGTCACTTTTTTTTATCGCTGTTGGCAGTACCTATTTCGCGTGTAGTCCATGGCCATGAGCTGCTATACAGCCAATAAAGAAAACCATTTAATTCTTACCTTATCAATCCTGTCCATCAGCTCCCTCGCCTTTGCCAGCAACATATTTCGCTTTTTTATCTTGTCGATGAGCAACGCACTCGTTCGTCTTAGTTCTTCGCATTTTGACTCTAAATGGTCCACCGAACTCAGTGGGTCTTGCATTAGTTTCTCACCTGGAGGGAAACGCTTTGGTGAACATCCAACCTTTTACAACGTGTAGCACAGCGTCATTGCGTTTTTATTCTGTTTATCCTCATGAACATTCGCGATCGGATGAATAGTCAGACATATCGGCGACAACGCAAATTAATATCGAAAAACCATTTGTTTTGTAGTAGGTTATTAAAAGATTATTTAATTAAATAAAAAAATCAAGCTTTAACAACTATAGCTAAAAGTCGTACTCAAAAACGTCAAATTATTTTAATGCTTTATCAAGTCACATATTGTCCTATTTTATTGTTATCGCGCAGAAAGTGACAGCAAACTTTAGTCAAACTTAAAAGTTAACGGTCTTCTCTGAGTGCGACCGTAAGTGCGAAATTAATTTAATAATTTGTTGTAAATACCGTCATCGATAACGGAAGACGCCGTATCTAGATCACAGTTGCAGAGTTTTTCGAAGTCCATGGCTTCTTGTATGAGGTTATCGACTCTGTTGGCCGTCTCGCCAACTTCGGTCATATCACATGCAGTCTTAAGATGGCCGTCTAATGTTGCCTACAAACAAAAGCAAACCAAACTTGAAAATGATCAATAACAATATAGTGCGATTTAAACTTTATGGCCGCTGTGAAGTTAGCAGCGAGCGCAAATATGCGCAGGTTTCAGCTTAGTTTAGTGACATGCCGCGCCCGCTTAATCACTCGTATTTCGTTTACTGCGCCAGGACTTGCGTTAACTTCACGGCGGTCATTAAGTTCAAATCATACCGTAGGTAAATAGCGGCAAACTTCATGATCAAAACCACACACAAATAAACTTGCGCAGTAAAGTTTTGTATGTAAAATTGCTACTACGCTGGTTTCCTTGTCTATGGTCGATGCTCAAGAAGTTTGCTGGGGTGGTTCAAAACACTAAATGTGAAAAAAAAAACAGCGCTTTTCAACACTCGGTTGGAACGATATTAATAGTAGATTGTTTTTACTAAGGGAGCAAAGAACTATTTTAAAGGCCAGAACTTTAAAATAGTGTTACTCCTGAGGTGGACAGTCTACGTTGACTTGTTCAAAAAATGTTCGTGATTGATCATTTTGGTGATTGTTTTCGGGATTTCAGAAAAGAAAATGCAAAATACTTTTTGTTACTTTGTTTAATTTCAATTGTTTCTATGAGTGAAGATAAAGTAGTGTCTGCAACTTTATATGATTTAGATATTAAAAACACTCGAGTCAACCTATAATCTCATCGATAAACAGACTATCGTGTTTTAATACCCCTTTTTGTATGACAGTAGCAAAAACTACTAGAAATCACATTTATTCGAAAAGAGCTAGTCTGATCTCTGTTTATAAGGATAAAAATACCGTGTTCATCCCTGTGATTTGAATTAGAAGTGTGGATATTGTTAGTAAAAGTTCTAATCACCAAAGAGATCAATCACGCAAATCTTGTGAACAAGTCACAGGCTGTATAAAAACTAACCACGCGCTTGGCAAATTAAAAAAAAGTGAAAACATAAAAAACGTGTTAAATACATACAGGTATAAGAATAGAGTGGGAAAGGCGGCTCTAAAAGTGTCCGTCTAGTAGAAAGAGAAAGAAGATGAGCGACCGCCAGCTATCTCTCTCTCTCTCTCTTGTGACGTATGGCATCCAATGGCATCGAAATAGTAAGATGCTTACGGTTGCCAATGCGCATGCGCGATTAGAGAGAAAGCTAGCGGTCTCTCATCCTATTTCTCTTTCTATTAGAGGGGCACTTCCACTAGTAGTAGTCTATATCTCCCCTACTCTATTCTTATACCTGTATGGTAAAATACATTCCGCCTTTCTCAAGTAGTAAGAATGAAAGTATTATTCGCTAAAAATATACTGCATTTACTTATTTTCTCATAGAGAGTGATAAAAAGTAGTGTAGGTACACCTCGGGAGCAATACTATTTTGAAGCTTGAGCGATGTAGATCCTTTGGATTAGGCCTTTGCTCCCTTAGTAAACAATCAAATCCTATTTTATCACATCCATTTGAAAAGCGCTAGTTTTTTCTATGTCAACAGGGATTAAAATAGCGTTTTTATTTCTAGGACTAAAAGTGTTTTGAATTAGAAATGTGGATATTTTTAGTAGAAGTTCCAATCACCAGAGATTGATCACGGACGTTTTATTAACAAGACTGTATAATAAGTTTACCGCCCGCTTGGCAAATTAAAAAAGTTTGTGAAAAAAGATAAAAGAATTCTCAAGCAGCTGTAAAAGTGTAAATAAATCCATAACCATAACTTATACGGATTATGTCAATGCAGTTTCCATGTCATGTATTACTCTTGTATGTAAATTGATGTAAATAAATAAACGTATTCATAGTTGCATTTATAGTTGCCTCAGGAGCAGCACGATCTTAAAGCTCGAGCGATGTCAGTATTAAAAAACTGTCTCTCCTTAAAATAGGTATTTTTCTCACTTGGTAACCAATCTACTATTTAAACAAAATAATTTTGAACAAACAAAGAACAGCAACAATAAAACAGTATAATATTTAACTAAAACCTTATTTTAACGTATTGTAAAGAAAAAAAAATCTAAATTAAAAAGTTTCAACTTTTGACAATTTTAGCGCCAGCATGACAAATAAATAAACTGTAAATTGTAAATGTACAACGCCTTTGTGTCTAATGATAAATCAATGTTTATAAATTTAAAACTTTGCAAGAAATATTAGTCATGACAATGGATATGGTGTGCAATTTTCGTAAGTGCAGACGTTCTCTTGCGAATCAAGCTTGGGTGACAACATGTTCGCACGCATTTTGTGTAGAGCACGGCCAAAAAGAATTCAGGAGAAATGCTGAGAATTCTTTAACATGTCCCGCTTGCGGGAACGAATTGCGAGATAAATTTGATGTTATTCAAGCAGATCTCAAGCCTACTGAAACATTTAAATCGATCGTGTTAGCCGGATTGAAACCAGATACTATTATGGATGTGGCTATGCGAGCTATGTCTTTTTGGTCATACCAAGTGGAGCAAGAGACTCTTTACCAAGAAAGTATGGCGAAACATGCACGTGAAAAACTACAGTGCCTCGACGAAGTCAATAGTTTAAACTTGCAGAAGTTAAAAGCAGAATTAGAGAATTGTAAACGCAAGATTGTCTCCTTGCAAACAGAATACAACAAGAAACGAAAACAGGCTGAGGAGCTAACAGCTTCTCTGGAAGAAAAAAGTAGAAAAATTCAAAAGCTAACTTATCAGTTGGAGACTCAAAAAAGAAAACACATTCGGGGCAATTTTGCAGGAAACAATCAAGAAAAGTGTTTAGATATATCAGATTTGGTCGGCAATAGAGCAGTTTCTGAAGATTTTGTATTTAGGCCGATGAAGGAAACGGATGACTCTCATCATCAGATATGTTCACCGAAAACACCTATGTTTGATTTTCGAAATAAAAGCAGAAAGAAACACCATTTTCAGTTCCGACCTGTGCCGTCATAGTTAATTTAAAATAAGTGTAGTAAGTAAGACGAAATTAGGTATTAAATGTGAAACTACTAACCTGCATTTGTTTAAAATTTAATAAAAACGTCCTAAATTGAAGCCAGTGGTTTAATTTTGTGGAATGTTTTTGCCAGAAATTATCAAATTGTTTTTCAGTCTCTTCAAGTTGCACCAATAGCCTGAAAACATAACGATACATTTTATTACAAATGTCTACTTAGTCAACAGTATTTATGTGCTTATTATGATAATTCAACGTAATTTCACGCCTATATGGGATTGTCAAAGAATTAAAAGTGCGATGCCGCTACTTATTGTCAATAAAACTGGACTTTCTAAAGATCAATAGAAACGTAGTTGTACGAGTAGGCTAGATATTTTTGATTCAAACATTGATTAAGTTGTCATACTTATTTAACAACCGCATTTTTTTTTACTTACGTTCTTGTTTATGATATCTATTCTATTAAATGTTGTTTATCAACCCCATGATGTTGTCTCTTAATATAGCATGAAGTTTTTATGCAGGTATTTGTGTATATGTCGTAGATTGATATGATAAATCGAATTTTCGCGAAAATCCCAGGGATTTTGCGAAAACGTAGTTAATTAGATAATGGTGATGACATTTCTCAACGTTACTGAAAAAAGATAGGATTTTTACGAAAACGCGACTGCCCTCAATAAGATTGCGAAAATAATTGTTGGCTTATTATATATATTCTGAGGTTTTGGGTTCACACTATGTTAGCTTAGATCAATGTTGTGAAAATCGCAAAATTTCTAGGATTTTCGCGGCATCTCGATTAATCATATCATCTCACGCCATATGTAATTATTTAATAACAGATTTATATTTTACAGATTTACGAGTTTACCTTTCTACAGCAGCAACATGACTAATGATATTATAAGTAAGGTTTGGTTTTCGGACTTGCGTCAGCAACTCTTCGCCTTGCGTTGTTGCTGAGGCTAGTTCAGTTTTTAAAGCTTTATACCTGTAACAAATGGAAATAAGATCATTAATATACCAGTTGAAAGTTCTTAAGCTAAGCTAGGCTTACTATTATACATGCCTATAGATTTTATAAAACACTGAGTATAAAATAATTGAAGTCCGAGTAAATCTTGTAATTTGATGTTTTTTTGAACTGAGCAGATAGACTAGGAAGAACGATGAAGTCTTCTTTATTTCAGAGGCATACCGTAAACTTTTAATAAAATCAGCAGCAATCTTTACCCTATCTCACTAGCTTACGATGTTTCGATCACAATAGTAGTCGATAATCGCCATACCATACGGGCGCTCTAATTTAAGCGGAAGTCATCTAGCAAGGCCCTACTAAGCTTATAGACTATAAGCGTTCGATGTCATTTTATTATAATACTAGTGGATACGCGCGACTTCGTCTGTGTGGTAATTTTGGTTTCCCATACAAACTTCCAACCCCCCTTTTCACCTCTTTAGGGGATGAGTTTTAGAAAATCTTTTCTTAGCGCACGCCTACATCATAATAGCTATATGTGTGATGCCATATATAATTCCAGCGAAAACCGTTCACTTGTTTGAGCTGTGCGTTAATATAGTAGTCAGTCTGCAACGGTTGCCTGTTATATACACAGATGATACTATTATTAATATGAATTATTAAATTACATAGCTATTCTACACAATGTACCTAAAGTGAATAATTTGTGTAACTGCATCGTATGGTGTAGTTGCGTGTGTGTTAAGGCTCGTGAAAATGTAACAGTAATCATAAAACCTATAGGTACTTACCTAGATTCTTGACAGTCTAATAATTCTTTGGTTTGTGTTGGATCATTGCCCATATCGCAGTCCACTATCTCGTGCATAAAGTTGTCCAATTTCACCGATATCTCCTTCATCAATGTCGAAAACTTATCTAAAGCCTAAAATCATTAAAAACGAAAAAAGTCTGTTCAAATATGAGCTTAAAACGATTTTTTCGTTAAAATTGTGTGGATTATTCTCAGTATTCCCGAAATGGCGATCAGCGCATTACGAGATTCCAGGAATTCCACACAATATTCAGTGCGCAAGGATAAAAACATCATTGTGGAGTCGTTAGTTGTGATTAGGCTTTGAATTTAGGGCAACCGATAAGCATTGAATACATAACTATTTTTTATCTGGTAGCTTAGTAGTAGGTAGATAGTGCTTGAACAAATTTATTTAATTTATAAGGGAACATTTAGTCGGAAATTTGCACAATGACTCCCGACAATTAACAGTGTCTTATTGTTCTATTTTTTAAAAAACCCGCTTTTAATAGGTTTTTTGCAGCTCAGATGCTCGGACCCGAGTGCCGAGGACTAGGACACATACTGCGGTGCGACTGAAGATGTTTTAAAAAAAAACATACAGGACTCTACAATAGCGAATATCTAGAACCTCCTAATTTTGTTTGAAGTCGGTTAAAAATTATAGTACACTGACCAAGCCTGTTACGTGGGCAACATTTTGTATGAAATTGAAAGTAAAACACAATACTCATCGTTGTTCAGAACCAGAACAGCGGAGGTGTGATTTGTTGTTTAGGTATTTTTAGTGGCATTTTGAACAGTAACCGGTCGCCAATCGATTGCAAGGTAGATAAAACGCAGAAAGGTAGTGCGTCATCAAAACACAGATTTTTACCTGTAGTAACGCTTCTATCAGCTTTTTTTTTTCAAAATAGGATATTATGTTTCACTATGATTATGTTCATTAATGAAAAGATGGTAACAGCGAAATGAACCCGCGATCGCACTTTGCGTTGTCGCATCTATTTACTATAGATAGTCATCAAAAATAAAAATAATTAGTGTGGTTATATGAAACTACGATGCAAGTGAAACTTTTAAAATCAGTAATAAAAATAGTCCTTCCTCGACAGGGACTCGAACCCGGTCCGCCCGAGTAGCAGGCGAGCTTTCAACCACTGAACCACCGATGCTTGTAGATAAGATCTGAAGGTTTTTGATAACAATTACAATTACACCAATTATTATAATGTTGTACTAAATACGAACGAAAAATGTTTGGCCATGTAATAAAAGATTAACTTTAAAAACTTACTATTCGCTGTTGTATCCACTCAGAATGTGAATACTGCAGCTCCCCGCCTAGGTCGGGGGTAAGTTGAGATCTGTCGAAGTGCTCGTATAGCTCATCCACTGAGGAGCATACGTGCACCCTAAACCTGAACTCTTCTTTGAAGAGCTTGCTGCTAACTTCTGACAGCGCCTTCTGGATAAAACTGGCCGGCCGGAGGACATACACTGCATGTATTATTCCGGGAAAAAACTCCTGAAAATAACAATAACCGAGGATCAAGCACTTCCTTATAGTAGATGAATAAATCAGTAACTAAGCGTGTTTTGAGATTTTCAGGTTTAAATAGAAGTACTTACAGAAATTCTTAACAATGCCGTTTTCACTGAATTCCATCTGTCTTTCCTTCTATCAATAATTATATGGAAGCCCATATCAGCCTCGAGAATTCTGAAAAATAAATAATACAGTATTTTTAACTTGTCCTGCAGAAACATGATTTTTATTGACGTTTTGTTTTGGTTTTGTTTTTAACATAGCTGTATTTTATATATTAAACCAAGTGCGATAGGATGTACCTTAGAAACCATTCGTTTACGAGTCCAAATTCCACATTTTACTTTCTAATATTGATTTCTTTATTACAAAGGAAAATTAATTGGTATGATATACTTATATAAAAACCATTCCATGGTTGTATGACCAAACCATTACAATAGATTTGATAAACCACAGATCCTTGCAACTGAACAACGATTCATTCCTAGGATGATACTCGAAGCTTTTGAGATTAAGAAACATCCAAATTTCAATAGGGAAGATGTTTGGTATATATCACAAGCTTAGGAACCCATTATACAACATATAAAATCCCAACCCCGATCATACACTGCAAGACCAACAGATACTATTAGTTCTTTTTGTTTGCATGACTTAACAAAAGAAGGAGACAGAAAGCCTCCCTGAGTTTGTTTCGCGAGTTCTTCTCAGAAAAGTCTCCCAATTTTGGAACTGGTAAATTACGGTAGTTAGGGTCAAATATTAAACTTTATTAAAATTATAAAAAAAGGAATTAAATAGAGTACTTTATTAATTTGCTAATAAATTCATACATATCAATAAAGTTTTAGAAATCTTTCGAACTTCTCAATAAAAGTCTTACGAAGGTAGCTCGACAAAGTAAATAAAATCACAATTCTGACGACGCAGCCTGAAGAGGATGCGAAACGTCGAAAACAAATACAGAAAAGATGTACTTACGAGGGCACAGAGGTGAGGTAGAGCAGCAGGCGGCGGTACTCGAGCGTGGATAGTAAATGGAAGTTGCCGTGGTCCGGGAAGGTGACCAACGGCCGGTGGTCTCTAGCGAGGCCGCCCGTCGCCAGCGCATACTGGGGCAGCAGCAGCTCGCCTATGCTGCGGCCCTCGTCGGCCTCGCTCCCGCAGCCGTCGCATTCCGCTTCTAGAAAAGGCAAAAGATTTCATTTTATACGAATTCCAACATACAACTTTAACTGTCTATCTATCTTCACGCCGTGTCCCAGGTGGGGTAGGCAGAATGAACTTAAGAAGATTACTGTTTATATACATATATTTGGACTAAAACATAATTGATGCGGCAGAAAACGTCTGCTGCTTCAGCTACCCTCATCTTGTCAGTCTGAATCCAATTCCCCTTCCACGTTCCGAGCTCGCTAAATTGTACGCGTCTATACACAACGTCCAAATTTTTTTGGTTAAATAAACTATATTTTTTTACGGCAGAATGTGACAAAAACTTTTGATGTAGCTTAGCCAATGATGTCAGACGTACCAACTTCTTGGTATACATACTAGTTTTTAGTGTCACGTACCATGTACCAAGGCTATTCAGTCCTTGTACGCAAAAATACCAAGATTGGCCGTTGACCGACAAAAATACACTGACAATATAGAATAATCGACAAATTTTAGAGATTCATGTAAAAAAAAATTCCAATCAATTGTACGTGCTTATAAACGATTAATATTCTTCAATTGATGAAAGAATCGAGTATATATAGTATATTTCTTGCGTGTGTTCGATAATCACTGCCCTCTATTAACGGTCTACGAAATTGAAATGTACATTTTTTTTACTGGGATGATGCGATTTCCCACACAGCTCCCAGAATTGGCAGCGCCGCAGAGCGGAGCACAGGCGTACTAGTTTCCCGGCTCGAATACCAGCTTTCAGCCAGCTCGGCACAAGGATTTCTAGGTGCCCATCTAACATCCCTGAGCTTAGCTACTAGATAGATCCGCAACTACGAGGATTTGCAACGAAGAATAAGTTGGTCAAGTTTTATTATCTTATAGATAACACCATATTTTGAGGCTTCACTTTATTTTGTACTAGAACATATAGAATCTTTTTGAAGTAAAAGAACTGTGTTGCAACGCGAGAATTGTCAGTAAACTGAAATACAATTTCTTAAAAGGAAAGAAATTTTATTAACAATATTGTTAAATATATTATGTTACCTGTGTATGTTTTAGAATTAATGTTGCATTTGTCGAAATTAACACTTGTAACTCGTAATAGACCCTTCCTGATTACTTTAAGAATTCGTTATAGAGGGTCACGCACGGCACAAACACGAAATTTTTAATGAATCTGTTCTATTGGAAGTCATCGACCCAAACGCTTGCGTGCAAGCAAAGGTCAAGGCGTTAATGCGGACTGCCGCGCTATTATTTAGGGTTAAATTCACTAGATTCAGTCTCACTAACACAACTGCGCTATTAGATTCAGTCTAAAACATTAAGTGCGCTATTTTAGGATTACCTAAATATCAGAATCATATAATTATACAATCCATATTAAGAAAAACTCAATTCATTTTAATTCGTCCTTCTCTTTTGCGAAAGCATATTACCTACTTATATATTGTTTGTTATTACAGCAAAATGACCCGTTTTATTACATACACTCTAGCAAACAATAGACCAGAAAACAATAAATCGAGTGTGTATGAGTTACAAAAGCCTTGTTGGCTTCTTTTAAAATGACAAATGAGGAAAAGCTAAATTCACCTGCCGCAAGAAGATATACAGCAATTACCTATTAACAGAGTGTATACGCAATCTCTTAACTATTGTTATATAACGTGATTACATCGAGGCATAGGCAAGGTCACTGCCAGCGTGACGGAAAGACAGCAAGTTGTTGTGATTTGTAACACTTGTCACTTGAATAACAAGTTACTTACATTGTAATTATTGTTATTGATAGTTGTGTCAACAGATAACTAATTATATTAGTTAATTTGTGTGCATCTACTAGAGGCGTAGTTAAGGTCTAGTTGATAGGATGAAGTAAGATAGCTTTCATAAAACGAAAGGTAATAAATAAATTTACGACATCGCGGAATCGCTTGGCTGGCAAAGTATATTTCCCAGGCGGGCGAGAAAATCCACTTTGCCCTAAATTTTCATTCTAGATAATTATTTTCATAAGTATTTAGATTCTAATCAGCTGTATGAGATAAGACCGACCTGCCCTACAATACGGTGGCATGCAGTCGTAAATTTGGTAATATCTACTTAATACTTAAAAGAAAATGCAGATTATAAGCATCAATTGCAGAGTATTATGTTTATAGCAAGAAAACACGAAGTCAAGCGACAGAAAACCTTATAAATTTCCATTAAATTAGCAGTAGGATAGTCCAACAAAACGAAAAATTACAGCTTTCGAAATATTTAGTATCTATCTGTCTATATGCATGCTTTCTCTCCATCGACCTCCTCCTCCTTTTCTCCAATAATAATCCTACAATAATCAAAAGTGAGTCTTTAAGTTTGTTACTCAATCACGCAAAACGGCTGGATGAATATTAGATAAAATTCGGCACAATATTGTTTATTACCTGGATTGAGACAAAGCATTCGTTTTATCCCGGAAAAAGGTTGGGTTCCTGAGAAATTTTTAAAAAACTAAAGTTAAGGCGGTAAAGTGGCGGGCGGCCGCCGCTAGTATCCAATATTCCTCAGATACACGGTTATATTCGACATCACATGATAAAATCAAGAAGTAAATAAGTGGTAAGTAATCAAGTCATCTCCAGTTTATGCATTTTTCTGCAAGTAACCCTAAGTTATGCGCGGTTAAGTATTTTGTTCATGTTATATGTTTTGACAGGATTTTGTTTTACGATTTTTTCATTCTTGGTTCCTTCGTTCCTGCCTACACAAGGACAACTCTATTATATTTAAAAAAAATTGTTCCTACATCTTATTAACATTTTGAAATTAATGAAAAACGTGTTAAGTAAACTAAAACACGATTCATGAATGGAAAGATAAGTAATCTTGTAAAAGTTTTATCAAGTAATTTTCAACAAACAGCTCAACTTACCTGTGTGAAAAAATGTATTTAATAATTTTTATTATAGAAGTAAATACTTTAACACTATTTATAACAATTCTTTTACACCAACAATATGTTTATTGAGCTTTGTTTATCGATGATAGTCGAGAAATGAGATAAGCAAGTGCTTGCTTGGAACTGAAAATCGCTGCTTGTACTTTGAAATATTCGCGCGACGAACTTTGTCATTAAAATTTGTGATTGTGAAGTTAAGTTGTATATCTAATTGTGACCCAGTCTATAAATTAATTTAAAACACAAATTTAACGTTTTGTTACAATGTTTTCCTTAAAAATGAATTCCGAATGCGATTTTAAATCATCTCGATTTTGTATGTTTCTGAAAATGTAAAATTGCATGTCATATCAAAATTCCTTCCACGATTCCCACTCTACCTACTATGCAAGTACATAGTAGGTAGAGTGGGAAGTAGTAGTGAAATCCTAGGTCATTACGCAATGTGAAATAAAAGAAAGAACTATACAATATGATAGACATGGGCGTTTTTGGTTTTGAATGCAAACGGATATTTATCGGATTTCAGATTTCAAAATCGATTTTAAAATCCGTTTTTAGATATCCGATTTCAGATGTGCCGAACTAAGCCAATTCACTAGTTTGTGTTATGATTTGGTTTTATTAGCTAACGACAATCACAAACAATTATTGTAGGAAGCAAGGATACTCGTAGATTTCCTTCACGCTTTAAATCTAGGCTTAGGACTAGCAGAAAAGTTATGTTTACGGTTAAGAGTAAAACTTTTGCGGCGCATTTAAAAATCGACTTATATACAATGATTTCTTTTTACATATTTTTTTAGTATTTTTTTTTGTTTGTTTTTATTATTTTGCAAACCATTTACAAAATTAAACCTTATTACTTCAGGTTAGCGTTGTAAAATGTAAGTTGCTCGACTTTTGATGTTCTTAGACGGCATCTCTTTTCAGTGATAAATAATCCCGTCTTAGAGAAGCGCAATAGATTTCCGTAAACAGCAAACCGAAAACGGACTTCCGAAAACGAAAGCACGGATTTCGAATCCGATTTAAATTTGGATACTATGGTGGTATTAGATCGCTAGCGTTTTGGTTCGGTTAGATTTCCGAAATCGGATTTTCTTGTTGAGAAATCGTTCGGTATCGATTTGTGATTCAAATCGGATTTTGGATTCGTTTTGATATATCGGACGCATGCCTAAATATGAATAATGTCAAGAAAACACATACAATCTCTTAGATACATAAGGAAATTTAAAATAGCTAAGTGGAAAGAGATTCTATATCTGTTACTGATATTGGAGCGAAATTCAGTTATTAATTTTACTATCTTAAATTAAATAGAAATGCGGTATAGCTACAATGTTCGGGTTGTTACTCAAGTCGTTGCTAGTTCTTTCATTTCCACATTGATTATTCCGAATCACTTTGCAAAGAATGTAAACAACATTTTCTCACAATATCATAAATAGTTCGCGTGAGTGAATTTCAATCAAGATTACGATCACTGTCTTGCTGTGTATGTCATTCATTATATAAATAAGAAGAACGTTTATTAATCCTGCATAATTTACATAAAATTGTGATTTTTGAATATATATATTTTTGTATGACGCTGTGAGTTGTTTTTGCCTGATTTTCTCCACAGGTAGGGAAAATTTGGACGATTCAAAGAGTTGTATTATACTTCCAATTTGAATAAAGAAAATTTTACATTGACATTGTTAAAACAACCGAAGCACTAATTTCATGAAATAATTTTACCCAGAGCACACAGAAGCTGAAAGTTGTAAACTATGTAAATATATCTGAAGATTGTTTATAAAGGGAAAAGAATATAAATTATAATTATTAAAAAAACAAACCAGTTATAGGTAAAAAAACTAACCAGTTTCGTAACACGTGGCACTGTTTTCGTTTTGTTTTTTTTATCACAGGAAGGGTAAGCTTCCGATTAGCATGGTCAGCAAAAAAGAAGTGGCTACATATCCAGCAAAGGGCTCTCGAAGCAGGTTTCTTCCTCATTTATATGCCGGCCGCGACCTAATCTCATAGGCGAAGAGCACTTTATGTAC